ATGTATTTTTTTAAAAAACTTTTCATTTTTTTCCCTGTTGCACATTTTCTTCTCCTGCTTCCCTCCCTCTTCCTCCAGCCCTCCCCACAATACGCCCCTTGTTTCAGATTGTTGTCATGCATATAATCCCTAATCGTATATTCCTTTCGGATAGTTCTTCCCCTCGTTTGATCTAATGCATGTATATTATCGGTCTACTCTTTTCCCATTCTCTTCCCCACCCCATGTCTGTCCTATTTTATAACAGCAGTGTTATGCAGTATTTCTTTTTTGACTGAAATAGTTCACTCAGCACAATGTCCTTCAGGCTCCCCTGTGCTGTGTAATGTTTCAGGAGTTCACCGTTTTTCAGTGCTGTGTAAATAATCGTGTGAATGTACCGTAGATCTTGTATCCATTCATTTGTTGATGGTAGATTGAGTTCTTGACTATTGCTTCCATGAGTGTTCACTGCAGATTCAGGTAAAATGAAATCCTTGACAACTTCAATCTCTTCTCTATTTATCATGATGTTATTCATGTACAAGTTCAAAGAAAAGTTAAAGAAAATCAAAACAAGTTCACAAGAGCAAAAATACATTAAGCAAATCCCACCTGATATAGAGACCATCTCAAGAATACATTTGCTGCATTCAAATGATGACCAGATAAGTTGTGAGATGACATCACCATGAAGACAGCAAAAGATGATTACAAAGACAAAGAAAATACTAAAATGGATGTCAAAAGGGACCTTGAAACATGCACTAGAATGTAGAGAAGCTGAAAGGAAAAGATGGTGCAGACAGCTGAACAGCTTTCAAAGCAAAGCATATAATCTGAGAAACAAAGTAGTATAAAATATGCAAAGAACTGGAGTTAGAAAACCAAAACAGAAGAACATGTTCAGCATTCACAAGTTGAGAGAACGAAAGAACAAATTTAAGCCTCAAGTTACAACACAAAAGCATTTTGTGGGCAAAACAATGAATGATACAGGAAGTATCAAAAGACAATAGAAGAATATAGTCACTGTACCAAAAAGAATTGGTTGGTACTTAGACATTTCATGAGCTTGCATACAATGAGGAACCAGTGGTACTAAAGTTAAAAGTCTAGGCTGCAACGAAAGCTTTGTCAGATATTTATGTGAAGGGTATATCAACTGTGTGGAAGGAGTATATTCGTTCACTAGACCTATTCTGTCAATCATAGGTCTGTTGGGTGCCATGGTGTATTATGTGCCACACTGCGAACTTGAAAGGCCAGTGGTTCAAATCTACTAGTGAGAATCAGAATCTGCTAAATAGCAATGACTTATTTTTTACTGTAAAAATTTATTCACTCTATATGCTGAATATACAATCCAAAGAGTAAAGAGAAATGTGGTATCAGGATTGGAGGAAGACTCAGTAACCTGCAATATGCAGAGACTATCTTGCATATAAACAGCAGTCAGGAAAGAAAGTCCTGCGTTGTACAGATGCACCTCCAAGGACCTCTTTAAAGCACTGACGTCACTCTGAGGACGAAGTGAGCCCGACCCAAGTCATGGTATTTTCAGTGGCTTCGCATCCATGTGAAAGTTGGACTGTGAATAAGGAAGTAAAAGGAAATCAGATCTTTTTTAGAAGAGGTGTAGCTAGAGCTTTGCCCTAAGCAAAGATGATAAGACTTAGTCTCACACACTTTTCATGTTATCAGAAGGAAACTGTCCCTGGAGGAAGACATCATGCTTGGGAAAACAGTGTCAGCAAAAGAAAGGAAGACATTCAATGAGATGGGTTGACACAGTAACTTGTAAAGCACTACATCACTCAGGCTTCCTTAACTGATAAATAAGCAAAACCCACTGACATCAATTCAGACACCTGACAGTCCTGTTAGAGGTTTCTAGCCTCTATTCCAAGGAGCTCTGGTGGCCTAGTGGCAAGAAGCTGTGCTGCAATCCTAATCTTTCTCCCATAGAAATACCTCTCATGGGTAGGTTCCAGTTGTTAAGTCTTTAAATTAGCTGTTGTTATTTTTGTTATGTGTCATCTGTGATTCATAGTTATCCTGTGTACAGTATCTCTAAACTCTGCCCCATCCTAAGCCAGTTTCACTGTTTTCGACACACCTACCCCCATTACTCCAATTTGACTGTGTCAACCCATCTCATACTGCGTTTTCCTCTCCTGCACTGTCCCACCTTTCCAAGCATGATGTCCTTCTACAAGGACTGGTTCTTCCTGACCACATGCACAAAGTTATGTGAGATGGAGCTTCAAAATCCTTGCCTCCAAGGAGCTGCTTTGTTTCACTCTCTCCAAGACAGACTAGTTTGTTCTTTTGGTGGTCCATGTTATGTAGAATACTCTTTTCCAGCACAAATCAGAGGCATCAGTTCTTCTTCTGCCATCCTTAGTCACTGTCCAGCTCTCTGAAGTATAGCAAATAACTGTAAAGACCATGGCCTAGGTCAGGCACACCTTAATATCTAGAATGACAACATTGCTCATTAGTACTTCAGAGAGGTCTCCAAGAGCAATTTCCCTAATCCAATTCATCTTTTGATTTCCTCATTGCTGGTGCCAACAGTGTTGATTGTGGACAACTGTTTTCATCACTTAAACCCCTCCCCAAACCCAACACACACACACACCCCAACCCACACAGCAACCTCCCATGGGATTTCTGAAGTGCTAAATTTTTACAGGTGGAGACCATCTTTTCTGAGTGACTGGCAGATTCAAATTGTTGACCTTTTGGGTAGCAACCAACTTGTTAGGTGCTGTCTCATTAAGGCTCATTATGTTTGTAACTCATCAAATAAGGCAGGCAGAAATTGTGGCTGATACTGAATTAAGCCATATTTCTGCTTAAAGGAAGCTTTGTGCTGGAGTAGCCACCAACTGCCCCCACAGGAGTCTGGTTGGCAGCTCTGATGCAGCTGGGGGCAAACCCCTTTGCGTTCACGTGCATAATTGCTACCTCCACTTCAGCAGAAAGTGGTTAACAAATAGTAAATCCTTCAAAACTGCTGTCAATGGGCCCCACTGTCCTGTTTTTTGGTGCTGTCTACGGAGGTGGCAGTCATCCCCTGCTGGCATAATGGTGGCCCTCGGACTCCTGGTGAAGCCAAAGATCGTCAAAAAGAGGACCAAGAAGTTCACCCAGCACCATAGAGTATGTCAAAATCTAGCATAACTGGCGCAAGCCCAGCAGCAGTAACAGTGTTCTGAGAAGATTTAGGGACCAGATCTTGATGCCCATTGGTTGCAGAGAAACAAGAAAACAAAGCACATGTTGCCCAGTGGCTTCTGCAAATTCCTAGTCCACAATGTCAAGGAGCTGGAAGTGCCCCTGACATCAACAAATCTTCCTGTGCTCAGACTGCTTGCAGTTTCCATCAAGAACCACAAATCCATCATGGAAAGAGCAGCCCAGCTGGCCGCCAGTCACCAATCTAATGCCAGACTGTGCAGTGAAGACAATGACTAGAAAGCTTGTTTGCACCTTTTATTTGTGCTAAGTAAACTATATAAAATGCCAGGGGGAAAAAAAAAACACCAAAAAAACCCAAACAAGAAGTGCTGTCAATGGAAAAACAAATCCACTCTTGATAAGAGACTTTATTCAAAGAGGAAAGGGAGACTGACTGAATAGTGGAAGAGGAGACTGCTACAGTAAGCAAATTCCCAGCAATGAGAAATTGTTAGACTCAGGGAAAGGCGTTTTCTTTTATTGCAAGGCTAGAAAATAACCAAGGGTGGAGACGTGAGATGAGAGCATGACTTCACCCGTAGTAAATCAGGTTTCACACCCAGGCCAGCCTCTTCTCAGGAACAGACTCTGGCCAAGGGTGAGCCAGAGTTCAGTGACTTGGAGGAAGGAGAGAAGCTCAAGTACTGAGGACAGAAGTGGTGCTCACTCACGAGATAAGGAAATGAGAATCTGGAGGATCTGTGCCTGATTTTATGGAGCTCAGGTGATGCAGTGATTAAGCACTCAGCTGTGGAAAGACAGGTGGTTTGAACCCAGCAGCTGTGGCCGCCAGCTTCAGGTGAAGCTTCACAGCCTTGCCAGCCCCATGGGGCAGTTCTTTTCTGACCTGCACTCATTATGAGTCAGAATCACAGCGTGGGGTCTGATTTTGGTGCCTGGCCTATCACAGGTACTCGTCGTAGTTTTATCATTTGAGAAGGGTGGTCACCGCAGTGAGCCATTTTCCAACACAAAGGGTATGAAATGTTTTTAACCATTCTGTTTCCCAGGATCACAGGATTCCGGTAAAATTCAATATTGCCTACTCTGTGGCAGGCACTGTTCTAAGGGCATTTAATCTTTACAAGTTATGAGAAATGACAAACAATCCCACACTAAATCTGGGGATCTGACATAGGGATAGAGAGAGATGGACATGGGAAGAGAACAGCTCACACCTAGCTCAACCTGCATTTAAAGGTGAGTCTCTATGTTGCTGTGCTTTAGGTGAGTTTACCAAGCAAATTAGTCTTCCATTCAATAGTTTGTGGTCGAAGTGTTTCACAACACTGGCTGCACTCCTCTCTAAAAGTTTCCTAGGAAATACCTGATATATATGATACATGATATATAGTAGAATCGACATCCCCACACCCATTACCTAACTTAATAAAACATAACCCATATATCAGAGTCCTTCCTGCAGTTTCATCTTTCCCAAGTTAATCATTACCCCAAATTTGATGTTTCTTATGTTATTCCAAATCTTTAAAAAAACAATTCAGCAAGGCTAGAAGGAAGCAAATGGATTCAAATGTAATGAAACTGGTTGCAAATCGTTTTCCTCCTGGAGATAATGGCTCAGTGTCATTGAGGTGAAAATATTGAAGAGTCTAGAGAAAAAGCATAAATATAGTGGAGCTTTTATTAGGTAGAGGGGAAACATTTTTTAGCTGCATGATCCAAAGGTTCCAGTTACATCAAATTCATCAAAACCTTTCCCATCGGTGTACTAAGAGGTGCTGCCCAGAACACAGCAGCTTTCAGGGCCTCACCCTCCACACAGGGCACGCGGCAGACAGCTGCTTCCCACCATCCTGCACGTGGTCAGTTCCTGGACAGTCCCAAGAGGCAAGGGCAAAGGGCAAGACAGTTCTCACAGAACTACTTACAGATGAACTGTCTACGATTGTTCAGGAGTCTCTTACGACACTTTGTTTTATAAAATCTGAGCAGAAAGTAGGGCAAGGGGCCATGGAAGCAGTGTTGTGGGCAGGTGGAATGTCCTGGCTGTGGAGTTGTGGTGGACAACAGCTGCGGTCTAGTTAGGCATTGTATGAAGAGGACGACACGTTGCCACCATGGCCTGTCCAATTAGTGTGAATGAACTGTCCCGGTTTGGCTAAGAGTTCATAGGTGTGAGCCCCAAAGTAGTCCCGCTGAGCCTAGAAAACATGAATTTGGTTGGTTAGTGTAATTTGCAGGCACACACCCTCCAGGAGTAGCAGGGCTCACATTGACCACCGGTCCAGAACTCTACCTGAATTAGGTTGGCCGGCAGCAGCTCATGTCTGTACCCGTCGTAGAAGGAAAGCGCAGTGGTGAAGCAGGGCATGGGGATGCCCATCTGGACGCCTGTGCTGATGGCCCGCCGCCAGGAGTCCTGGGCAACAAAACAAAGCCAAAGATCAAAGATTTCTGCGGTTCTCCTACAGAAAAGACCACTAGTTCCACTCTTGGGGGACAGATCCCCCTTCTCATCAATGCTGAAACCAGAGACTACAACAGCAAAACGCACTGAGAGAATTCTCACACCAGCCAGTGCTCTAGGCTACAGACCTGGCAGTTTTCAACAGCAGACTTAAAGAAATCATCGAGCAGTAGATTCTGAAGGTCTGGGTTTCTATCGAATGCATCCTTTATCTTCCCCAGGAATACACTGGAATAATCAAAAGAGAGGAAGGAAGTCAATGAATTTTGACTAAAGCAAGCTGAATACCTCGCAGGAAATAGGTAAACTAAGTTGGAGGTGAAAATAAACTCTCAAGTGACACTTCTCATTCCTTAAAGGCAGCCTTAAGATCAGGGCATCATCAATGAAAACAAAGAACAAAAGGGGTAGTCTCAACAATCTAGTCAGAACCAGTGACACACAGTAAACTGTAAGAAGTGACAATCTAAACTTGCCCTGCTGCCAGTTTTCCAGGGACAGAGGCAATGGCCCCAGTTACAAAGAAATTGCTCAAGCGCTTACTTCAGGTGAGTCTGCACCGAGGCCAGCCTGCCCACTGTAATACCTGCAGCGACCTCTCGTTTACCTTCTGATGATGCAGCCGCCTCTCCACATCAGCGCAATGCCACCATAGTTGAGGGTCCAGCCAAATTCAGTGGCTGCCTGTCGTAGCAGCATGAAGCCTTGAGCGTAAGAGATGATCTTGGAAGCATAGAGGGCCTAAAGAATGACACGAGACGTATTAGAATTGCAGTGAACAGAGAAACCACCGACTGTGCAGACCCTACACAAGGCAATGGTCAGAGCTGGGAATCAGGAGCAAAGGTGAAGGAGGAGCTGGTTAGCTGCACTGCCCCTAGCCTCAGTGTGATCTCACACAGGGCCCCTACTGCCCACCCACCTTCTAAGGGATCAAAAAAAGACCATGACTCACCTTCCGAATGTCCTCCAGGAATGCTTTCTTATCTCCTCCAAACTTGGCCTTTGGAGGACCCGTCAGCTTTTTGCTAGCTTGTATCCTCTCATCCTTCAGTGATGACAAGCATCGAGCAAAGACAGCCTCTCCTACATAGAAGGATTGGAGAGTAAAACAATATAAGAAAAAGCATAAAACCCCAGGAAAGAGATTGGAAAGGCTAGGGGATGTGGAAAATAGAGCTGGGGCAGGAAATTCCATTTTCCAAAGAGTTAAAAAGCTTCAACCAACTCTAGACCACAAAATTTAGCCTGCAAAAAAAGAAGTTTATAAAAAGCATCTAACATTAGACTTAATAATTAAAATTCCAGGTTCATCTTCCAGCATAAACAGAGGTCCTGAACAGCAAAGATGTTGATCATGAGGGAGTTCAGAGGGAAAATGATGTTAAACTACCATTATTTTAGTGTTTATGAGTAAAGTCACTTTGAACTTAGTGCCACTAAGTCTATGACTGCCTATGTCCATTCTATGTGCAAAACATCACAGCCATGCCCCGCCCACACAACCCCGGCTGTGCCCAAGCCCCAGCTGTGCTCACCCTGTCTCCAGCTCCCTGACATCTTCATCTCCCTCTCTGACCCACCACCTTTCCAAGCATGATGTCCTTTCCCAGGGACTGGCTCCTCCTGCTAACATGTCCAAAGTATGTGAGCCAATGTCTTTAAAGAGCACTTTTTTCAACAGATTTGTTCATTCGGCAGTCTGTGGTTTATTCAGTACTCTCTGCCTACACCAGAATTCAAAGGAATTCTTTTTATGCCTTCCTTATTCATGATCCAACTTTCAGATGCACAAGTAGCAACGAAAAGCATCATGGTTTAGTTCAGGCACATCTCAGTCTTTAAACTGACAGCCTTGCTCTTTATCACTTTAATAAGGTCCTTGACAGATCTGCCCAGTACAGCAAGTTGCTTGGTTTCTCGCCATGGGCACTGCTTACAGATCCAAGTAAAGTTAAATAATTGACCTCTTCAGTCTTTCCTCCACTGCCTTTGATCTAGTTGTGAGAATTTCTTCATGTTGAGGAATAATTCATACTGAAGCTACAGTCTTTGATCATCTTCACTAAGTGCTTCAAGTCCTCTTCACTTTCCAAAAACGAGCGAGGTTGTGTCATTTGCATATCATAGTTGTCGATGAATATTTTATTAAGAGTCTAAAATCAGAGTTAATTGTGATTTGTGTCTAAATGTGTAAACAGAGCAGTCGGAGAGGGGAGCTTTAATTCTATTTTAAAGTTTAGACGACAGTCTATAATCCAAGTTGGATTTTGGAAAGTTTTTCCAAATGGCAGTCCCCTTGACCTTCGTGCTGACTTGGGCTGTACACTTCAAAGACAATGTTCCTTTTCTCTGAGAGTTGGCTTGTACATATCTAATCTCTTCCCAAAGGGTGCCTGTCATAGACAAATGGATACAAGATGGGAAGAAAGGGCCTTAAAATGCAGCTTTAACTAAATCTGTACAGTGTATCTTCAGAAGCAGATATGACTGAGGACAAATAAGTCACCAGAAAAAGTGTTCTTGTTCTACTCTTTGGGATCACCCTATATATAATAAACTGAATGTTCCTTTAACCAATCGTATGATCTCACTTATGTGCTGAGGACCTATTGCTGTCAGGTCTCCCTTTTAGCCATCCTGTTTTTAACGCCCTTGGTAGTCATTTAGCCAGTTATAAATGTCGTAACCTTTGATTCTTGATCCAACAATATAAAAATGTATCCTGTTTTGCGGCCTAGTACAGTATCCCATTGGCATTCTGAGAATGGAGCTTCCCCAGTCCAAACTGTCCTTATCCCTCTACAAACTTCATTTGCTTTTATTTAAGCAGTCTCTGTGATACTGCTCTATGACAATATTTACTAAGTATTATTTTTAAATAAGGCATTTTAATATTAAAGACATTTAGTATCTTAGAATAACAGAGGACTTCTAAGGGTACTAGCCCTAAGCTTAAACATACCCACTAACCTTGATTCACACCCATCCTATTTTTCTCTCCCCGGAGTGCACACACACGATGACTTGGCAATTATGGAAGGAAGTGCTGTAAGTCAACTGGGGCAGTGAAGCAACTGTGGTAAAAGCCTTCAGGGTTACATAAGGGTTAGCTAGAAGCCTTACTTCCCCATTAGTTGAGCAAACAAAATGGCACCCATCCAGAGAGCAAGTCTAAGGAGCCTTCACTTTGTAGAAAAGGAACAAAGTCTCTAAATCAAGAGGTGAGCCTTCTTCCTGAGACTGCAGTACTGTCATATACATTTCTATCAATGATTAATAAGCTGTTCCCAGCCCTTCCACTCCTGCCCAGATTATCACTGGAACTAGAGAGAAAGTAGCCAATTTCCTCCTCTACAGAGCTTGACTGCACCCCCTACTTCCCTCCCAGTGTGCCTCACCAGCACACAGTTCACTGGAAACAGAATGAGGTGTAATTAGTCAGGAAATCAAAAGAAAGGAGGGGATCCATGGAAGGAAAGGCAGTATCTGGAAGAGCAAATAAGGAAATCTCTCTCTCTCTTTTTTTAACTAGAGGAGGAAATATTTTGCCAGGATCAAAGATAGCTATTCATTAAACATGCTGGGGTCTTTTTTTCATCCATTTTCTATCTTTCCAGAAGTGTGTCTATTTTCTTTTTAAAAATCAGTTTTTGGTTTTGTTCATTCTCTTACTACTTTTTCAGTTTCCACTTCTCTTTGCTTTTTATTCTTTTCTATGGATTGTCAAAAGAACAAATAGCTATGTCTTGGAAAAGTGCAGCCAGAGGGCTCTCTGAAAGCAAGGATGGTGAAGCTTCCCGTCCATACTTTGGGCATGTTGCTAGGAGAGGCTATGCTTGAAGAGGGAGAGCATGCTTGGAAAGGTGGAGGGTTAGCAAAAGAGAGGAAGACCTATAATCAGATGGGCTGACACAGTGGCTGCAGCAACGAACCTGAGTGTGTCAAAGATTGTGAGGATGGCACAGGACAGGACACGGTTCAGATTTGTAGTCACAGCGTCACTGTGAGTTGCACTCGACTCAATGGCATCTAATACCACCACAACATAACTTCTTTTTGAGTTTGATGTTTAGCTCAAGATACAAATATGTGGATGAAAGAATACATATGATTCAGGGTAATGTTTTCCTTCAGAGGTGAGAAGGGGTGATAATTTAGGGAAAAGGTATGAAAGGACTTCAAATGTATAGGTATATGTAGAAATATAAACCTGAATGGAAAAACTTGGCTAATCTTAACAGAATTCTGTGAATGTTAGAGTATTCTAGAGTATCGTCTTTGCAGAAATCATCATAGTATAAACTATAATGAAATCCACAGAATTTCATTATAACTAACCTTTTCCATTAAAAAAAAATCTTAAGTCATTTACTACAATTAAATCATTAATGCAAAATTATTCTAAAGATACAAATCAGATAAGAAAGAAACAAACTTTTGCCTTTGTTTCAAAGCTCATCTAAGAGGAGGATTATAAAGAGGCAATTTAAAAGTGGTGGTGGCCTGTCACACTGTCAGTTTTATCATCTGCAGGAAGATCAGGGAATACCCTGAAAGCTGATAGGGCTGAACAGACGCTCTAAAAGATCCGGTCTTTACCTGTCAGTTTACGTCAGTGTTTCGGAGGTTAAGTCACAACAGTAGAGCGAGAGTGTTCAACTGAAAAGTAGCACATTACCAATGAGGGTGACAGGAACGCCGTACTCCAGGGCGGAGATAGCTGTCCACTTCCCGGTGCCCTTCTGCCCTGCACTGTCCCTGATCTTCGGCAGCAGGTGTTTGCCATCTGTATCTTGGAACTTGAGGATATTGGCTGTGATTTCAATCAGGAAGGAGTCTAGTTCTGTCTTATTCCACTCCTCAAATGCCTACATGGAGAACGGAAAGAGAAACAAAGCTTACACAGGACTCCCTTACCTGGTCTCTATTTAATCACACTGCAATCCCAGAGATATGCGGTTCGAATCCACCAGGTGCTCTGCTGGAGAAGGCGGGGCCATCTCCTCCTGTACCAGTCAGATCCGATTTGACGGTACACACACACACACACACACACACATAAAATAAAAAATTATTTGCTCTCTCACATCTTTTTTTTTTTCATTTATTCATTGTTGCACATTTTCCTCCCTCTCCCTCTCCCTTCCCCTCCCCGAGTACACTCTGCAAGGCACCTCCTTTTCTGGATTGTTGTCCTCCTCACTTCACCTGGCTCTTAACTGTCACCTCCTCAGACATCCCCATATCACCACATCTCAAGTCTACCCTGTACCTCCTTTACTTTTCTTTACAGTGGTTATCGCTAGCTAATGTGATATGCTGCACTATTACTGTGAGTCTTTCCAGCTCCACGACTGGGCTTTGTTTTCTTCATCATCATATCCCCAACATTTATCAGTGTCCAGCACACAGCAAACACTCATATATGCTGTTGTTGCATTCGTATATGAAACATTCCGTAAGCCAACTAAAACGGAACATAAAAAGCAAGCACTGTTTCCATGAAAACCAAGCTGGGAGTTGTTAGAAAGACAAAGGCAAGTCAATAAACAAATTCCAGTCATAAGTAAAGGGCATTACATTAATGAAATTAGGAGAAAAAGCTTCCTTCACTTGTGTTCAATTGAAATAACGAAACCTAATGGTGAGGCTGGCACAGGACAGAACAGGGTTTAGGGATCTTGTACATAGGGTCGCTATGAGTCGCAAGGGACTCGATGGCACATAACAACAACAACAACAATGCTGGACATAAGTATTGTTGTTGTTGTGTACTGTGGAGTCAGAACCGACCCGTAACAGACCCTCCAGCGGGTTTTCAGGGCCAGTTAATCACATGGAAGGAGACTCCCTATCCTTCTCCTGCAAAGCAGCTGGCAAGATTAGAACCCTGTGCCTTTGGTACTGCAACGCAGCTTCTTGCCACCAGACCTCCTAGAAAAAGGAGAGTTATAAACAGCAGAACCACACTTATGAGGCAAAAACAGTAAATTGTTAACAGTAAAATTCAAATAGTGGGTCTGTACATTCTCACTATAAAATTCCCTCAACATTGCTGGATTTTTGAAAATTTTCGTAATAAAATGTTGGAGGAGGAAGTGGTTTAAAGTCTGCTTTATGCTTCTAAAACACTAGCCCCCACCTAGAAAAGCAAGCTTCTGCTGCATCTCCTACATGGCACAGCTGTAGGACTGAGGGAGGTAATGACTGCTATCTGGATTCTTTGGGAACATTATGCTTATTTTAAAGTCCTATCATAAAAGGAGCTCTGGTGGCCTAGTGGCAAGAAGCTGTGCTGCAATCCTGAAGGCACGCGTTTAGAGGCCACCAGCCACTCTGCAGAAGAATGGACAATCTCCTCCTGTGCGATTAACTGCCTCTGAAAACCTATCAGAGGGTCAGCTATGGGTCAGTTCGACTCTACAGTACACAACAACAATTACTCCTAAAGCTGTACTGAACCCACTGCTGTGGCTCATAGTGACTCAACAGGATGGAGCAGAATTGCCCCTTAGGGTTTGCATAGCTGTAATGTTCATGGAAAGAAGCTCTGGTGGCAAAGTCAATAGTGTGTTGAGCTGCTAACCAAAAGGCCAGCTGACTGCAGGGGTGCACCCACCAGCAACCTGATGGGGAGAAAGAGGTGCAGTCTCCACTCCTTAAGATTTAGAGGCCTGGAAACCTGATGGAAGGTCACTATGTATGGAAATCTCGACAGCAATGAGCAGAGTGAGTCTTCAGAAGCAGATGCGCACACCTTTCTCCCACAGGGGATTGGTGAGTGCAGACTGGTGACTTTCTAGTAGGCAGTTGAGTGCTTTAACCAGGGTGTTTCTTTCACTGATCAAAAGTCAAGGTTATTGCCATCAAATCAGAACTAACTCACAGCTGACTCTCTAGCAGGTTTTCACCGGCTGTAAATCACACAGATTTCTCATCTTTCTCCTTCTGAGCAGCTGGTGGATTCAAATTGCCTGCCTTTTGGGTTGGCAGCCAGAACCCCTTATCTACTAGGCCACCAGAGTTCCCTCCTTACTGCTATCTTCCCTTAAATCAGGCTGAGTCCATCCAGGCCACCAGAATGGCGAGGGAAAGAGGAAATCCCTCCGGTCTTGGCAGAAATTACTCATTCAGCACAGAAGCAGTGCCTGCTCTCACCTTTGCCATCTCGTCATGTTCCATGGCCAGAACGTCTTTCATCAGGTGATAAGCCTCACAGATGAGCTGCATGTCACCATACTCGATCCCATTGTGAACCATCTTCACAAAGTGTCCAGCTCCCTCATCTCCCACCTGCAAGAGGGACAAGCACCAAAGAACGTCAGAGAGGCACGCAGTGTACCAGGGAAGCCTGACTCAGTCTTAAGGTCAAATTCTTTGACAGGACCAGCCCACCCAATACAAAAAGGAGCAAGGACAGGGCAAATAATCGACTGTATTTTTGAAACAAAAGTCACTATGTATCAATTTGCCACAAACTTCAGTTGAATACATTATTTTAAATTAATTCTAGATTCACTGCCCCAAAGATGAATTTGCCCAGGTCTCAGATAATAAAAAAGTTTGCAAGATACGTATTCTTGGAACACCAGTTGATGAATTTATGATGAGAAACTCTTTAAGTATCAGTCTGATAAATCTATTCTGTCCCTACTGATAAGTTATCCTGGAAGCCAAATTATCTACTTAGCAAGAAGTCTGAACAAAGCAAGGGTCAGCTATTTCAGGACACCAGGCTGTGCAAATTTCATGTACCCATCTCCATGACAGGGGCACACTGCCCAGGGCCAGATGCTAGGCTGACCTGGGGGTTCTCTCCAGGCAGTCCCTGCTTCCACTGATACTATCAAGACTTACATCAGAGACTTCCTTTTTCTGTTTCTAGTACTGACCTAACCCTTCTGGTTTTGACACTTTTCTTTGGCTATGAACTGACACGACTAATAAACATCTTACTTCATCTTACTCTTCCTGTTGCTTCAAAAATTAAGGAGGGTCTGCTTTTAGGAGCTATACAGGGTTTTGGTTTTTGTTGTGGTTTTTTTTTTTCATTTTTAAATGAGCTGAGAATAATAAGCCTTAAGGGCATAGAAGTCAACCCTTGATCAAGATATGGAAGTACATGCACTGTTTTTCCTTTCATGACTTCATCTTGTTGTTAGGCACAATCTAGTCAATTTTAACTCATCGTGCCCCACACGACAGGGTAGAACTGGCCCCTCTGGGTTTCTAGGCTGGGATCTTTATGGACACAGACTGTACATCCTTCCACTGTGGAGCAGACAGCTGGGCTCCAACCGTGAGTCTTTTGGTTGGCAGCTGAGCTCTTAACCAGTATCAACAGGGCTCCTTGATCCTCTTGCGAGTATCCAAGAAGGGGAAGATTCTGTTGTTATAATAATCTACAATCAAAGAACAAAGATTCCTTTCTCATCCATCATACTTCTGAGAAAATTATTCAATCTTTTAAATCACAGCACCAGACTTTTATCTGCTCAAAGTAGATTCTGACTGAATGCAATAGTTGAATGCTGGTTAAAATGGAAGCACCAGAGGTGGATACTACAACTAAAGGCACCAGGCAGTGGTCATGGCCAGGAAGGAGGGCACCCCACATCCCTCCTATGCCTTAATCCTTGTCTTACTTCTTTTTCTCATATAAAACAAAAAATAATATAAAATTAGCACATAAAATTGCTGACTAAAGATTAAAAGAAATTAAAAGCTAAAAGGCATCCTTGGGTGCTGCAAATAATCTAATGAAGTCAGAAGTGAACCAAAGTGAGAGTTCAAGTCCTCCTTGCGGTGCCTCAGAAGAAAGGCCAGGCAATCTACTATCAAAAACGGAGCCACTGAAAATCCTATGAAGCTCAATTCTATTCTAACACATGAGGTCGCCAGAGGTTGGATCTGACTCAATGACAACTGGTGGTGGTGACGGCAGAAGCTAACAGAACCCTGGAGACCAGCTTATCTCTGTAGATAAGGCAATGAATGTCCAGACAGGGGAAATGCCTTGCTTAATGTCACTCCATTAGTTAACAGAGAGTCAGAATTAGAACTCAGGTTTCCCTAGTGGTCTTTTTCTATCCACAGTATGGACTGAGACTACAGAAAATGTGAAATTTATTTTAATAGTAACACAGAAAACAGCAGGAAGAAAGTATATGTGCTGGCTCCCTCACACTCTCGAGGGTTGAAGTCTGTAGCTTGTCTTGGTCAAGTAGAGACGACCTAAACCTCAAATTCTGACAAAAGAGATTTTCTACATCCACAGTCAGGACACAGCATGAGCCGACCAATCCCCTTTCTCCCAGAGGTAAGCACATCCTTCCTTTTACGACATGGTAACATGGCTAAAAACATCTTTGCCTCATCCTTCCTGTTTCTTAAAAGGCGGTTGACTTTACTGTCAACCCAGCTATGCCCATTAAGACCCTAACTCAAGATACAAGGGTATGTACTAGTAGGCATGCATTTTAGGCATCAGCTACACTAATAAAAACTGAAGTTTATGTCACAAGCTGACTGCTGGAGAGACAGATGGTCTTGAGCTCTACGCATTTAATCACTCAGAAAAGCCAACGTGGCCAATCGGTTTTCAAGAGTGGCCTGAAACTTGCCCAGTCACAGCAGGGTTCTCCAGTTCCCACTTTTGCAGCAATGCCTTGGAAGATTGTCTTGATGTGGGGCCTGTGGAGAGAATAGAGCAGGTCAGCTGCTAAGAGGGCCACTGATAACGGCAATGAAATACTCAAGGACCATCTCCTCTAACTTCTTCCTTTCTAATGCAAGGCAGAGGTACCTATTGAAAAGCAATGAGCGAGGCCAAGTCCTACAGCTAAACCTGAGTCACGTGCTGAATAACTTGCCTGGTCCCCAGATCCTAGTAGGCAGCAAAGCAGGGCTTGCCAAATATTTAATCTGAGGCCACAGAAAAAAAGGCTGAGCAGGAGCACTTTCAGAATTTTCACTATGGAATTAAAAGCAGTAGCTGTGATTTCCAGCAGCAAATGACACAAAAGTTCCTTTAGGGACTCCCTCAACAAACAGCCTGGACATGATCAGAACAGCTGATTCTTGACAGTGAGGTCAAGGGTAAGGACAGAGAAAACTGTTATTTCCAAGAGATACAATTAGCATTATTCTGAGAAGCGCCTGTTCTCCAGGCCTCCCATCTTCCCACGGGAAGACAGGCTATTTTATTATGTTTTTGGTGAAGGTTTACACAGTAAATTAGGTTCCCTTTTGACAATTCCTAAATAAACTGTTCAGTGACACTAGTTACATTTTATACAACGTGTCAACGTTCTCTATTTAGTTGTTCAGTTTCCAAAATGTACCCTTTTTTCCTGCCCCCTTAAAAGCTCATCTTGGCTTTGGTTCTACTCACTACTGGCAAACATAGGTCTTTTCACAAAAAGTGTTTGGTATAGATACACAATCTGTTGGTTTTGTGTACTACCGAGTTGGAATTGCTCCATAGCTGACCCTCCAGTGGGTTTTCAGACGCAGTTATTTGCACAGCAGGAGACTATACATCTTTGCTCATAGAGCAGCTGATGGGTCTGAACTGCGCACCTTTAAAGGGACAGCAGTGAAACTCTATTCCAGTAAGGCACCAGAGCTCTCTGATACACAATTTAGTTAAGACTTAAAAACCTTAACACTTGGAGCTCTGGTGGCCGAGTGGCAAGGAGCTGCAACTACAATTACTGAGGCACACAGTTCGAATCCACCAGATGCTCTGCCAGGGAAGGAGGGACAGTCTCCTCCTGTACCAGTTAGATCTGATTTGACGGTACACTCACACAAAAATATTAAAAAATTTTAAAAAAAAATAAAATAAAATAAAAAAAAAACACCTTAACACTTAGGAGTTCAAGAGTTTAGGCTTTAGAACTTCACTGAACTTTTACTTTTTCAGGTAAAAGTATAATCTCAACTTCTGCTACATGAATGTGAGAAAAGTAAATTAACAGGAGCAATTAGAAATTGCAGGTGAAATATTTTCAAGTGCATCAGTTACATTTTTAACAGCCCACTGGCAGGTGGCCCAAGACATGTAATTTTACAACAGAAAGAATTTTCTACTCCTGAATTTTAACACAGTGAACAGAATCTTCAGATTTAAATGAGAGGTTATAGACAGAAAATCTACCTCAATAATCCCTTACTTGGAGAGTCAGGTTTGAACATTCCTGTTCTTTAATGCCTTAAACTGTTCTAGACTATTTGGAAATCAAACTCATCCAGAACAGAACATTACTGTGCCCTGTCTTCCTCATGAGGGATCCTCCATTTACTATTTTGTTCCGCTGCGCTCCACTTCTCTTCTTCTTTTTTTTTTTTTTTTTTTTTAATTTTATTATTTGTGTGTGTGCCGTCAAATCAGATCTGACGGACAGGAGGAAATTGTTTCTCCTTCTTCAGCAGAGCATCTGGTGGATTTGAACCGTGCACCTCTGGGATTGCAGTGCAGCTTCTTGCCACTAGGCCACCAGAGCTCGCCTCCACTTCTCTTCTGAGCTTTCTCTTTCCGGCTGTGGTCTTCTTCTTCCTCAGACTAAAGACATACCTCTACATGTGAATACAGCCATGTGCCGCACAACATCCTTTCAGGCAACAGCTGACCATATGTGGTCTGTGGTCCCAACCCCTATCATAGTAAAACACTTGAGGCAGAAGGAGCTCTAGTGGCAAGAAGCTGCACTGCAATCCCAGAGGCAGGTGGTTCAGATCCACCAGATGCTCTGCTGTAGAGGAGGGGGAATCTCCTCCTGTACCAGTCAGATCCGATTTGATGGTACAAACACACACACACACACACACACACCCCTTTGATGTAAATACACTCATTCTTTTTTTCATTTTATAATTTTTTATTACTACTCCTCTTTTTGTCTGCCTGTTTGGGATATACAGTGGTTCTTAACAATAAACAGGTGTTACTTTGCAATGTACATCAAAATATTATTACTGTTTTTATGCTAAAGTTGTATCTTTCATCTGCAAGTGTTTAATGTTTCTACCACCCAGAAAGACACACTTTCCCTAATTTATGTACAAATTTGACCCAAGACCCTTAGATTCATTGTAATCTAGGGACTCTATTAACATGGTATTAGCTCACCAACCAAGTTACCTATCACCCCATTTCACAGACTGTATCACGGAGGTTAAAGACACAGCTGTAACTCCTTGTATCTTTCCATTGTGATTCTCCCTCCCATCCACATCTCCCATCCCTTCTCTTAAATGGCTAACTCCTTCTCTTCTATAGGGAAGGAAGAGTAAAACATCTGTTTAGTCTTAAAACATTTCCACCTGTTGCCCAGGGACAAAAAGCAGCCTGTTGAGATTTTCTCATCACTCGCAGTTGCTAAACAGTTATTTTAGGACCATAAATCAGCTAGTAAAGGCAGATCCTACTCCTAGACACTGCCCAGCTTCCTTCAAAGCTTCTTAACCTCTTAAGCCTCTCTAGACTTCTAGCACAAGTCTTTGAGGGAGTAACAGAGCATAAAAAAGGCAAAAGAAAAAAACATATCCTTTACTCCATCAAGGCAGCAAAACAGATAAAAGGGGAAATATTTCCACTATCTCCTGCCATGAACACAATGTATTACAGAAGAGAATTATGCTGACAGCTCATTCATCTCAAACTTCAGGTTCCCTCATGCTGAAATGCAGGGGATGGGGACGAGACTTACCAAGCTTCTTTGTTCCCTCCAGGCATGAGTGATGGGCCGTAGCGGGCCCCATCCTCTCCACCACTAACTCCACTCCCCACAAACAAGATTCCCTTGGCTTTGAGATCCCGACATCTTCTCTACATGAGAAAAAAAAAATCATTATGCTTCTGAAAAAGAAGTCTCTCCCCATAACTGAAAGGATACATAAAACAGGTATAGAAATGTCACAGCTGACATGAAATGATCCAAGAATAAACTGATAATTCGTGAAATTGGATCTCTTCAGTTTGAGAATGGTAAACAACAGCCACCATGTAAATTCAAGAAACCTACGTCCCCAAAAGGACATAATAAATTAGTAAATCTACCTATCTAATCATTTCACTGGAAAAGACTATGTACGATAAGACATGCTTATTTTGTAGGTAACTTGATAGAAGTCTGACTTCCTGTAACTCAGCCCCTCCGTGGTAGAGGCTTTTCCTGAGCATGGGTCCGTGAGCAGCGGTGGCTGTCCACAATCATGAGCTGAGGAATCATGGATTGGCGGGGGAGAGAGAGAGAAGTGAAGCACAAGCTCCCAGCCCGCTATATCTGCACAGTATCTTAGGAGTGCCTCCTCCACCAAGTGCAATTTAGCAGGAAAGAACCAAATGAGGCTATGACATTGGGATCAATCTCCAAGGAAAGACACCACGGAAGGACATTTCACCTGTGTCACACGTGCAACTCCTATATTTTTTTTCAAGGATGTTCACAGAACCTGGAGGAATTTAGATTTTAAAAAAGTAACACTTACTGTGGTATCCCTGTATTCAGAATTCCCTCCATCAATGATGATGTCACCAGCAGCTAACAACGGCACCTAGAAGTCAAATAAGACAAAACAGATCTTGGCTAACTAGCACAGATATAAGGCTTCCCAAGAAAGCCCTGTTTAAAAGTACATACTGTTGATTTAATCTTTAATAACCCCTTCTGTGGCTAGAGCTAGACTCTTAGGCCCCGATTTAAAAGCTTGTTGCTGTCGTCAAGTGCCATCAAGTCTACTATCATAGTGAGCCTGCGAACAGCAGGCCTGGACCTTGCGCTCTCCTGCGCCATCCTCACAACTGCTGAGAGGCTCCAGCCCGTTGTGAGGAGTCACTGTGTCAACCCACCTGCTTCCTCTCTTTTGTTCACTTTGACAAGAGGCCTGTCTCCTCTTAACCGTTTAAAAGCTTAGGCTTAGTAAATTCAGCTGGAACCCTCCCTGACCCAGATAATTCCCTTTTACTACTTATTCTAAGATTCTACAACAAATAAAATTTACTTATTTATGTATGCAGAAAATTTAGCATTTTGGATGTGTACCACAAAACCCACAAATCCACTGTCACCAGTTGACTCTGACTCACTCTAAGTCTTTACAGGAGAGATTGCCCAACCTTTTCCTGCACAGCAACTGGTAGATTTGAACTACTGGCCTTTCAAGTAGTAGCCCAACATGTTACACACTACGCCATTAGGACTTCTTTCTTTATGTCTCCAATCTAGAATCCCCAAGGGCCAGGACTAGGACTAATAACTACGTCTCTAGATTAGAGTAAGGAGCTCGAGCAGTACAATGTTTTAATTAATGTGAGGCTGTCAACTGAAAGGTTGGCAGCTCAAACTCATGGCTAAACATCCGAATGAAAGATTTTGAGCCAGAGCTTTGAACCAGTTCTTCCTGGTTCAAACATGACCCTGGTCCAGTCAGGGCCAACAAAGCAAAACTGGAACTGACCTAAAAATATGGGTGTACAAACACCTGTGTACCCATCAACAACCTGAACAGAAGAAATATGGGTCAGTGTCCTACTACAGATTTTTAACAAAAGGGGTCACTGCACAGCAATTAAATCTCTTGACCACAGTCAGAGACAGTGGCGCCCTGCACAAAGATGGCCGCTATATTGATTGTTCTGAATGTCATTCTATCCCAAACCGAACCGAACCCACTGCTGTCCAGTAAGTAAGGACTCATGGCGACCTCCCCTCAGGTTTCCAAGGCTTGTCAATCTTTACGGAAGAGACTGCCCTTGTTTCTGCCACAAAATGGCGGGTGGAGTTGAACTACCGAGCTTTTGATACGTCAGGCACCAGGTCACTGGGGCTCCAGACATTCTCGATATTCTCAGTAATAAACTATTATTACAGATGAGGCACCCGAAAGGATCCACTAAGTTTCTTCTGAGTATCCCATTACTTTGATGCAAAGTATTCCCCATTCCAGTTCTCGTTCTGCTTCACTCAAATTTAAAATTCAGGTCTGCTTGACTGAACTGGTTTGAAGCCCTGTTTTACTCATCACTGTCTGGAGTGGCAAGAAGAATAATACTGAATCGCCTTGAATAATATTTGTATATCTCTGCTCACTAATCAGGGTAGCTTATTATTCAACCTTCTTCCTACAATTAATATGTACATGGACAAAAGGGAGCCAGTGGAAAGAATTTATTTAGGTATTCAAAGAGAATTCAACTTTAACAGTTCCATTAAAAGTTATCACTACTTATTATTTTCCAGGACTAAACAATTAAATGTTCCATTTTTCAGTTCACTTGTCTGAAACTAATCAGGCACAGCTTGGTATCTCACTGTAGAAAAAAAATTAGAATGCCATTCCTTTATCACAGTGTCTCCATTTAGGCTGTTGACTTTAAAAATGGTGCCATACTGGTTACATTCCTCTCTCAGAAGAAGCCACCCCACTGTTAACAAAACTCCTTCTAGAAAAGGAATGTTAATCCCTTCCTTTTTGTTTATTATCACTATGTTTCTTGCCATAAAACATTTCTTGTAAAACTGATTGTTGTTGTTATGTGCCGTCAAGTCACAACTCCTCGAGACTATGACTCATAGCGGCCCTAGGTACAACAGTCCTAAACTCTGCCCTATCCTGTGCCAATCTCACCATCTCCAACACACCTGTCCCATTATTGTAGTCACTGAGTCAATCCATCCCATCAAGGGTCTTCCTCTCCTGTGCTGTCCCTCCAGCCTCCCAAGTATGATGTCCCTATCTGGTAGGAATTTTTAAATATAACTGCTAACGTAAAATTCTTTCTGAATATCCTTTTTACGAAGATGGCGCTGAAAGCTAAGAACGAAGCCCCTGCCCCTCCCAAAACTGAAGCCAAAGCAAAGGCATTAAAGGCCAAGAAGGCAGTCCTGAAGGGCATCCACAGCCAAAAAAAAAAAGAAGATCCGCACGTCACCCACCTTCCGGCGGCCTAAGACACTAAGACTCCGACGGCAGCCCAAATAACCCCCGAAAAACCCCCCCCAGGAGAAACAAGCTTGACCACTATGCCATCATCAAATTTCCCCTGACCACTGAGTCAGCTATGAAGAAGATAGAAGGTAACAATACACTTGTGTTCATTGTGGATGTCAAGGCCAACAAGCACCAAATTAAACAAGCTGTAAAGAAGCTCTATGACACCGATGTAGCTAAGGTCAACACTTTGATTAGGCCTGATGGCGAGAAGAAGGCCTATGTTCGACTTGCTCCTGATTATGATGCTTTGGATGTTGCCAACAAAACTGGCGGGCTAATTCTAAATACAAATTTTTCTCACCATAAAAAAAAAAATTCTTTCTAAATACCTAAATAAATTACATCTACCAGTATCCCATTCTTCATACATTTTCTGACAAAGATAAAAAGAGCACTTATGACTATTATTGTTCCCATTTTTATTACCAATTAATTTTCATGGAAATTTTGCTTAGTCCTCTCACAATAGCACATACAGAGAATTATTACCATCCAAGCATAAGGAGTTTCTTAATTAACGGCAATCAAGTTAAGCAGCATTGAGATATTTAAGACATTGTTTTGCCAAATTTATTTTGAGCAAAATAAATTTTTAGAAGTGGGGAAAAGAAATCTGAGATAAGAGAGGGGGGAAAGCTCAAGGAAGGACAAGAAAACCTGTCACACTGAAAGAAAGTGGGAGCACAGCTGGCCTCACCAGTTTTTCAATGAAATCGTCAACAGCTTGACCCGCCTTCACGAGAAGTATGATCCTCCGAGGTGTCTTGAGCTTGGAGACCATCTCCTTCAAGGAGTGAGCACCAACCACTTTTGTTCCCTTTGCCTCATTGGCCAAGAAATCATCGACTTTGGAGACTGTCCTGTTAAAAGCACAGACCTAAAAGGAAAAGAGGCCTGATTAGGAGATCTTGGGCATGTGAGACCTGCCTGTATGGACTAAGTGACAATAAGATTTTGATTCGGCCATATGACTGGGGAAAGCTGAACCCTCCTTTTTCCTCTTTCTTGTCACTAAAACTTGAGTTCCCATCTGTTCAAATATTGACTGAGCACTGTAAAGCTGGGCCACCTCAGCAGGAGCTAATATATGATAGAGCTGATACAGCGAAGCTCAACTGCCCTGGGCATACCAGACTTTAGTCTATCACTGGGAATCAGAATCAGATCTAGAAAGCAGCCAGTACCCCAAGGAGTTCTGTCTTCTGTCACCTGGATCTAAACCGGCCCAGTATTCATGCACAAAACTCTCACATTCCTCTTATCTCAGTAGGCAATAAATTTCAGAGTTCTGCAGACTCTCAGGAATCTACTTACCTCTTCCTAAGACCAAACAAACCAAATTCTTTTTACCCTGGGTTGGTTTCAACATAGAAGACCCGCCCTTGACAGTTTCAAAGACTGCAGTCTTTCTGGAACTGGGCTGGCACATCTTTCTCCAGAGGGGCAGCTGGTTGAATTTGAACTGCCAGCATTTGGTTAAGAGCCAAGTGCTTAACCAGGGCCTCATTAAGCCTCCTTCCTTTTCTTAAGACACTGATCCCTTCAGTCAGGCAGCAAAGTTTCCAGAGCTGACAGAAACATCCAGCAGGCCTCTTCTTCCTCAGAATGGCAGAGCTGTCCCTCTGCCCACACATAAAATGTTTCTCCTTTGTTTAAAAAAAAAAAAAAACAACCAAAACTCCTAAGCAGCAACAGGACATAGAACCTGTAGGCGATGATAAGGGATCTTTGAACTCTTCAGAAGACCTGCACTCCAGCTATTGCACAACAAGAACAAGTAAGAAAAGAAAGACACTTGTGTCCCTCTGTCCCCACAACTTACCACAAAGCCGTGATCATTCATGTTCAAAATTAAGTTCTGGCCCATGACGGCCAATCCAATCAGTGCAATATCAGCTCTGAAAAACCAGGAGAAAATGAGAGAGAAATGTGTCAGTGCCACTTAACCCGGCACAACTCAGGAGCCCAGAACTTTCTAGCTCTTGTCACTTTGAATCACTTATTTTCTTCTGGTCCCCTTACTCCGATATAACTTAAGTCTCCAGATAATGGAGCCTTCTGTGAAACTATAGAACAGATAAGCCCACACTCGGCCACTCGAATCACCTCAATTGCTATGAACTAAACCTGAACTTAACAACTTATTCACAGCCTGTCGTCTCTTCTGTGTTCCACTGTCTGGCCATTACGTTTTATGAGCAATGTCCCCCACGGCGGATCGGCCCTGCAGGGGAGGAGGGGTCCCATCCGCGCCTCTTCTCCCGCCGCCGGGCGTGGCCAGCAGATCGGAGAGCTCAGGCCCGAGCTCTCGGGGTGGGAGGGTCGAGGCCAGCTTCCCCTGTGTCCTCGGCAGTGCCTCTCCGCTTTCCCTTCGGCTCTTCCCAGGCAGGGGGACCCGCCCAGGGCCTCACTCTCCGTGAGATGCATAGTCTGGGGTCAGGACTGGGGATTCTGAGAACGAAGGAGCTGAACCCTGGAGCTCTGGGCGTCAGGGTGCACGGGGTCAGCCTCAGGGAATCCCGAGCGATTGAGTCGCCGGAGGGCGCGTCCGTGCTCGGGGCTGGGGAGAATCAGGCAGACCCTAGTTTCAAAAGCTCCTCGAGGACGAGAGCTAGCGGAGGGGGTCACTTACTCAGCCATGGCAGCGACGTGGAAGGCGGCGGCGAAGAGAGATGCACCTAAAAGAGCCGAAGAGTAGAAGACTCGCGGCTGGCCGGCAAGGAGCTTTTGAGTTGGGCTCTGGCTCGTCCCTCCTGGGCTGCAGCAACTCAACACCCCATTTTTGTCCGCCAACCAATCAGAAGTTAGGGGGAAAAGGTTTCCGCAAAACTATTGGTAAAGTCCAACGCCTGTTAGACCACCTGAGGCAAGAAGGCCCGCCCACTCCGGGGACCGGATCAGTTGAGTACCGAGTACATCGAGGACCTAGCCGGGCGCTGGCCAGCGGCCCTGAAGCAGGATGAGACCCGCGAGGCGTGGCCCTGTTGCCGGTGCGCGCGCCGGACACCAGGGACCCCCCCTCCTCCAGCCAGTGCTGGACTTCAGGCGCCCCTAACCCCGCCGGCGTCGGACTCCAGGTCCCCTGCTCGTGCACCCGGCTCTTCACGACGTCGAGCGACCACTTGTTGCGCCCCCTCCAGGAACGCGTCTTGTGTGTACCTGGCACGTATACGCCGTTTGCGGATATTTCCATCGTGCCTTCCTTCCCTCGCGTGCTCTCACCAGGCCATTCATGTGTCAGCGTCCCTTGATTATCTGCACCGTGTTTGGGAACGGAGGCCTCATAGTCGAAGCTTGTGCCCAATTAGACTTAAATAAGAGAAGCACCTCTTCTGCTAGATTCTCAGATCCGGCGATACTTTGCCACGTCGCCAGCACACTATTTTCTAGGAATTATTTTTCTGTTTTTAAATCAGTGCAGGGGATGCTATTTTGTCTGCTCTTCACCAGCTAACTCCTACCAGCTTGGGAGTTTTGGACCAGTCCCTTCTTCAAGAAGCTTCCCCAATTTTCTCAAGTCCCCATGTAAGCTGAGCACTGAGATTCCCAAGAGGCCAGCACATGTTCTTATCTTTCTCAGACTATTATGCCTCAGGGGATTGTTGTTGATGTGCTAGTGTTAGGTGCCATCTAGTCCAGTGTAATTCATAGTGATCCTATGACTAAAAGATCTGAGACTTCTCCTGTCTTGTGGCATCCTTATTATCTCTGACATATATGAACTCATTGTTAGTCACTGTCATATTATGGAGGACCTTCCTCTCCTTTGTTGACCTTCCTTTCCATTATGTCTGTTTCCAAGATACAGTCCCTCCTAACAACATGCCAAAAGTATGTCTGAGAAGATGGTGTTGTTGTTGTTATGTGCTATTGAGTCACTTGCGACTCATAGCGACCCTATATACAACAGCCCTAAATTCTGCTCTATTCCATGATAATCTTATTGTCTCTGACACACCTACCCCCATTACCCCAGTCACTGAATCAATCCACCTCATAGAGGGTCTTCCTCTCCTGCACCGTTCCTCCACACATCCTTCTCCAAGGACTGGTTCCTCCTTGCAATTATGTCCAAAGTATGTCAGATGAAGTTTCGGAATCCTTGCCTCCAAGGAACAGCCTGATTTAACCCTCTCTAGGATGAACCTGTTTGTTTTCTTAGCAGTCCATGGTATATTCAATACTCTTCTCCAACACCACAGGTCAAAGGCATCAATTCTCCTTCTATCCTCCCTAGTCAATGTTCAACTCTCTGATGCATTGCAAGTGATTGCAAAAACCATGGCCTGTATCAGGTGCACCTTAGTCTCCAGAGTGACACCATTCCTCTTCAGTACTTTGAAGAGGTCTCTAACAGCAGACTTTCCCATTGCAATAAATAGTTTTTCAATTTTCTGGCTGCTGGTGCCAAGAGTGTTGACCATGGAGCCAAGCAAACTAAAGCTGTGAACAATCTCAGTCTCTTCACCATCAAATACATTGTAAGCAACTTGGATAGCTCTTGGTGTTAGGGATGATCAAGTCTGCTCTGACTCACAGCTAGCTGCCCTATCATGAAACCCTGCCAAGCTTGGTTTTATTTTTCTGCTAACAGCATGTGGTAAGGTTTGGTATCAACCCTATCTTTCCAGAGGTCCTTTCCCCTTTCCTCCTTATCTTTCTTTTTAGCTTTGACTATTTCGCATGGCCTTTCACTAGCTATGCCTCTGTCTTACTGTCTTAATAAAACTTTTTCATTTGCTTTGCTCAACTGGGGGGGAGGGAAAAACCCCACCCCAACCCTGTGCCAAATCCTGCTCTGTCCTCATGATAGCTTCTTTTCTTAAACCCATTGCTGCAGTCACTGTGCCAAATCTATTGTGTTTGGGGTCTGTTTTCTGCTCTTTCATTGACCCTCCACGTTTCCAAATATGATGTCTTTCTGAGACAGCCGCCTCTAATAATAGTCTCAAAATATGTGAGACAAAGTCTCATCATGTTTGCTTCTAAGGAGCACTTTGGCTGCCCTCCTCCCAACACAGACTTGCATGTTCTTTTGGCTGTCCATGGTGTTTTCAGCATTCTTAGCTACAATTCAAAGAAAAGTTGTTGTTGATTGCCTTTGAATCGAGCATGACTCAAAGTGATTTTATGAACAAAAGGCCTGAAGCCTTTCTATAACTATCGTAATTTATGAAAGTTCATAGAGTTTCCAGGGGCATGTTATTTAGGAAATGGATTCCACTCGGGGAAAAAAAAATACATATTGTAGTAATAGACGGGAGGGGAGTCCTGGTAACATAGTCCACAGGGAGTTGCACTGCTAACCCAAAGACGACGTCCCCTGATGGCTGGAATCGGCTCCGAGGGAGAGAAATGGGCAGTGACCTCCCTTAAGAATTCCAGCCAGCGCTGGAGGGTCAACTATGACTTGGTTCTGATTCCACAGGCAATGAGGGAGTGAATGAGGGGTAAGGGGCTACACGAGAATACTCCCACGTTAAGTAAGCAGTTCAGGGAGTTAGGGCAAAGCACCTTATTTCTAAGTGGTTAAGACTTCAACTGTTAATGAAAAGGTTAGAGATTCAAACTACTCCATGAGTTCTGACCTATGGAGGCCTAGGGGCATAGTGCACTTCAATTGTGGTCTCCCATAAAGATTTACAGCCTCAGAAATCCCATGGTGTGTCACTAGGGGATGGAATGGACTTGACAGCAGTGGGTTTGGGGTTTGACCTCATGCAGATAAGTAAGTGAGCACCGGTTAGTTTATGTGGATAAATGCAGTTCCATCTCAGGCCATCAAGTCTAATCCAACTCATAGTGAGCAGACAGGACAGAGAAGAACTTCCCCGAAGAGTGTCCGACCCCATAATCTGCATGGAATTTGGTGGCTTTCATCTTTCTCCTGCAGAGCAGCTGGGAGGCTGAACTCTGACCTTTTGGTTAGAAACCGTGCACTTAACCACTGCATCACCAGGGCTGCTAATTTGTCTGGGAACGGTGGTTGTTGGTAGTGAACGGCTTCCTTAACACAAAAGGGGGTAATGTGGGGTTCTCTTTAACCCTCACTGCTTTCTAGTGCCTGAGATCGCTGGCAAAATACACCATTATCAAAAGTCATCTTGTTCATGCGTATCCATCACCTTCCATCTGCCCTGCACACAGCAAGTGCTAATAACTTGGCTGTTGAACAGTTGGGTCGCATTGAGTCACAAATGACTCAATGGCACATAATAACTCATTTGAAGGAGCAGTAAAGAATTGCACTTTCAATTCAAAAAGAGTTCAGATCCACAAGCTGCTACGAGAGAGAAAGATGAGTAATGGCTTCCTGTGCCATTTACAGCCTTTGGGGGGAAAAATCCACTGGAGGATCAGCGATGCATCAATTCTGCCTCCAGGGCAGTGAGCTCATTTTACTTGTTTGCGGCAAGCGAGATGGTGCCAGCTGCACATCGCAGTCTGCTGGTGACTCTTCCCTCAATCCGGATGCCACATTCTCCCGACAGCCCACCTTCTCGGATTATTTCCTTAGCATGTCTGTTGAACAGGCGTGGTGAAAGACACAGCCTCGACGGCCAAACTAACAAAGAAATTTGTCTTGGCAGAAATGCCGACGGAGTGCTCCTGACTGGCAAGGATAGTGAAGCTTTGCTGCACATACTTTGGGCATGTTCTCAGGAGGCCAGAGCTTGGACAAGGATGCCATTCTTGGAATAGTAGAGCATCATCGAAGGAGAGGAGGGCCCTCAACATGTGGGATCGATCCAGTGACCGGAACAAAGGGTTTAAGCACAGCAGGGATGGAAGGGTGCTCAGGATGGGGCAAGTTTAGATTTATTATATTATACGCAGGGTCACTATGACTTGGTGTTGACTCAGTGACACCTACCAAGCCATTTGAGGTGGTCCACAATAGTTCTGGTAGTGTAGTGGGCTCATTATTGGGGGGCTAACCAAAAAGCCAGGGGTTCCAATCCACCAGATGAAGGAAAAAGATGAGGTAGACCATTCCCATTAAGCTTTTTAGCCTCAGAACCTCATGAAGCTCTCCTGTATCCTACAGCATGGCTATAAATCAGAGTCGTGATTTACACGACTTGCTGTGGATGGCAAGAGCAGACCTAGTTCACACCTGTCTTCTTTTGTTGTTAGTTATCTATTTCACTCTCAAAATTGTTCTGGGGTTGGACGGTAAATTTATATTAACAACCTACTTTAAAATTATATGCTATAGGGGAGCTCTGGTGGCCTAGTGGCAAGAAACTGCAACTACAATCCCAGAGGTGTACGGTTCGAATCCACCAGATGCTCTGCCGAGTAAGGAGGGGCAATCTCCTCCTGTACCAGTCAGATCTGATTTGACGGTACACGCACACAAAAATAATAAAATTTAAAAAAATTATATGCTACATAGGGAGCTCTGGTGGCCTAGTGGCAAGAAACTGCACTGCAATCCCAGAGGTATGCAGTTTGAATCCACCAAATGCTTTGATGGAGAAGGAGGGGCAGTCTCCTCCTGTACCAGTCAGATCCAATTTGACAGTACACACACAAACAGTAATAAAAAAAATATGCTACACACAACTTCATAGCATTGTCCTTTCTTTTAAAAAAGCAAAACAAAAAACCAACAACACAACATAACAGATTCACTG